TCATTGTGGGATCTTGCAGAAGCTCCTTCCCCTTTCTGTACCTTTCCTTCCTGCAAATGGGACTAAACTCCGCTAGTGCTTTGAGATGGCAATGCAGGTGTGCCCTGCACAGGCACTGTGACAGCGTGCTGTTGCCAGCACTTTGCTCCAACAGCTAGGTATTAGTAGCGAGTCTTTGGATAGGAGGCAGGCAGCTCCTGTTGGAGTCAGTGGGGCTTTGTAGGGCGCTGCTCCCCTCAGATTCAGACCCCCAGTTAAGTGGTCTTAGTTACATCAGTCCGTTTGCACAGTGTCCTGGTGTGAGCATCCAGTCACGTGGGCACACAAGTACCAGCTGCAGGATTGGACACCCTCCTCCAATGCAAATCCGTGGGAAACAGCCATCCCAACCCCTAGTGGCAGCTGACAATCAAATGCCCTCTGTGTACAACCCAAGGCCCCGTCTTCAGTGGTCCTTTGCCGTGGAATCCGCTGCCTGCTGCAGGATTGTGCTCCAGGTTCGGGATGTGTTAGTACTGAAGGTTCTGCTTCTAGTCCTCACAATCACAGGGGAAACTTTAAACATGCAGATGGCAGACACACCAATGCGGTGTGTGGTCTGCCTGGGTCTGGCGATAGCCGGCACCAATAGCTCGGAGAGGTTGGAATGTTTCGAGCGGGGCTGTTAACCCTGAAGCCTAATGGTGGCCATCAAAATATCACCGTTTGATCGATTTCATTAGAGATTGTTTTAGCAGAAACAGCCAGCCGAAGTGCTTGGACCTCCTAGCTGCCCCCACCCCTGGTAGCAGGCCCCTCGCCATCCCCCTCATATCAGTGCAAAAACATTAACATTTTAAGTTTGGGGATAATATCAGATAAATAAACTAGCAAGGGGCTACTGCAAGTGCTCGTATTCAGTTTTATATGTCATTCATCCGTGCCCTCTAGTATTGGATATGAGAGAAACTTCTGCAGACCTCAGCTCAGTGCTATTGAATCCTGGGCTGCTGGGCAGGATTTAGCGGTGGGGTGCACCCCCCCACAGTGAGGGCCCAATACAGATCTGCCCGATGGCTGCGCTCTCCTAGGCTCTTCAAGCAGACTCCTCAAACAGCTTTCGGATCTTGCTGTAAGCTGACGGGGTCAAGCGCACCGGCAAGACAGGCCTGAGCGAGAAGGGGGACTCACAGCGTGGCCGGGGTGCTGCCCCTGGCCGGGTAGATTTCTCAGCGGCCCGTTGGTGCTGGAGCCAGGGCAGAGTCCAGGTCACTTTTTAGCAGGCTGGCGTGAGCTTTCTTCAGCTCAGGGAGGTAGCGAGTGCGGGGGGGGACGACACTGCAGCTGTGTGAGGAAATACCCCAGCCCCGAGGGTGCACGCACGTCGGCGTTAAACCCGACCTGCTGCTGGCAGCTTTCTAGCTGGGACCGTCACTGGCTGCCATTTGCAGCAAGGGTCCTGTGCAGAGCGTACTCCTGAGGGGCTGGCAGGGTGTAGCACAGCGAGGGACGGTTACAGGCGCCATGCAGTGCCGGTTTCACAGTGCAGTGCTAGCAGGGGAGCAAGCTACTCTCGGTCCTGGCCTCCGCGCACGCTCTCTGGCCTGGCTGCTGTCCTCTGGGGGCCCATGCCTTCGTCCTCCCTGGGCACTCATCCCAGGCGGGTGGGCCTGCAGGCTGAGTCCGTGGCCACGCGGGTGATCTGGGTTCTGCCCCCAAAGGTCTGTGATGGGTAGAAACCCATTGGCCTTCCCACCACGGGGCTCTGAGCCCAGGAGATTTCTACACAGCCTGGCCAGTGAGAGGAAGCGTTTCCCTCAGCCGGGCCGGGTTGCCATGGCCAGCTACGGCGTGGAGCCTGCTGGCCGCCGGGGTGGGAGGAACCTCTTGGCACCCAGGCTTCGAGGAGGCAAGAGAGCTCCTCCCCAGACCCCATCCTTAGGCCCAGGCCTTCCCGTTGCAGCTAGCAGCTCCCTACCGCAGCCCCTGCCCAGTGGCCAACTCTCTGCAGGGGGCCCATGGGTGGCACCCAGAGCCTCGCTGAACGGGGGCTGGGTTTTTCAGCGCTGCCTGTCCCAGCTTGTGGGGTAGCCTGTCAGATCCTCCCCCAGGGTCGGTCTGTGCAACAACAACAAAACCCTGCTACTGCTCCAGGCCGACTGACTTGGGCTTGTGGGGCTCTGGGGCCCTCCTACCCCACAGGGTCCTAGAACCTGGACCCAAGCCCGTGGGTGGCACCCTGCCACCAGGGGCCGGGCACACTTTCCCTTGCGATGGCCTTGGGGCTTGAGCGCTACGTTGCCTTGAATTCTCCACCTGCCCCACGTTCCCCAAGGGACCTGTGTGCCTGGGCCTTTCCTCTCCCCCTCGTCCGTTGCCAGGGAAGCGGGGTCTTGCTGAGCGTGTGGGCCGGGGCGCCTCGCGGCAGGGCCCTCGGGGGGCAAATGGCAATAGACCCCTCCTGCCTGCGGATCCGACGGCCCTGCGCGGGGGAGCTCTAAGGGGTCTGGCCGCCTGCGTGAAGGGGGGCCGGTAGCAGGGAAGAAACCCCGCAGGCCGTTGTCTCATACGAGCGCAAGAAGAAACATGATCCCTGCTCCTAATGGGTTCCAAGAGCCTCTCCCCCGCCCTCGCTCCCAGCCGGGATTTGCAAGAGGCCTGACCCTGCCCGTGTGCGAGCGCAGCCCCGACGCACTCGGGGGTCCTTCCTGTGGCAGGCCCCTGAGGTCATTATTGATCTGGAGCGGTTGCCAGGCAACTGGGATTAATGGAGATGTGGGGTGGGCCCGATCCTGAGGTGCGCTGCGATCCCGCCAGGCCTCGCGTGGGGGACGTGGCGCTCGACCCCTCGGCTCTGCCAAGGCGATGTTAAGGAAGCCGAGCTGGATGCGGGGCGGGCTGCTCGCCTCGCTCGGGGATGGCCGGGGAAGCGGAGTGGAAAGAGCCAGGCCCGGGGGGCCGGTTCCCGGGCAGCTAGCTCCGTGGCAGTCTCCCACTCGTGGCCCCGCCATGCGGATCCCGGCTGCAGCTTCTCCAGTCTCCCTGCCCCTCTGGGGCTGTCCCCGGCAGCCATGGAAGGAAAGGGGGAGCCTGGCTGCGATCCGGCACCGGACAGGTTGGGGGCAGGAAGCAAGCACTTCTCCAGCCGTCCCAGTGGGTGGGGCAGGGGGTGCTCCACCGCCTGGCTGCCTCTTGTCAAGGCCCGGCAGCTCCATGACAGAATTAGGAAGGATTCGGGCCAATGATTTTTGCTTCAGGAGAGGAGCCAGGTGTTTCACGCAAAGCAGCTGCCTCCTTCCCCGCTGCTGCCTTTAAACCCGCCCTCCCATCTCTGTGGTGTTGGCACCGGTTACCACCCCGCAGATATTACAAGAAATTGAGCTAATGGGAAGCATCCCGGGCAAAAACGATCCCTCTCCCGAACTCCCTCTGGTCCTCCCTCTGTCCTCTTCCCTGGGGTCTAGCCTGGGCTGTGAACCCCTCAGCGCAGGGCTGGGGCTCTGATTTGCTTCCCACCCCTAGAGCCCAAAGCATGTTACCATGCCAGGTATCAGGGTCCTTATTTTACTGCTGGGGAAACTGAGGCAGCATAGTAGGCAGCCTAATTTGCATGGGCGCTGAGCATCCCTAGCTGGGGATGGAGGTTCGGCACTTCTGAAAAGGAGGTTTTTAAGGGGCCCGACTTTCAGTTCCATGGTAGATTTCCAGACCTGCTGGCCAGAGACATGCCCAGGGTACGTCTGTGCAACAACAAAAACCCTGCAGCTGCTCCGGGCCAACTGACTTGGGCTTGTGGGGCTCCTCTCCCGCCTCACGGGGTCCAAGAACCTGGACTCGAAGCCAAGCCTGTAAGTCAGAGCGAAGAAACAGCCCTGCAGCCAAGTCCTGCGAGCCTGAACGGGCCGGCGTGGGCAGGTTTTCCTTTGCTGCGCCTCCCCAGCAGGGCTAGGAATAGATCCCAGTTCTCTAATCTCCCAGGCTAGTGCCCAGCGCTGCCTCCCCCCTGTGAACCGTCAGGCGCACCTCATCAGATCAAACGCCGGCTTTTCCCAGCCTGCCATTTGCTCTGCGTTTTCTCTCTGCCACTCACCGAGGCGTTAATCTGCCTCTTCAGCACGCAGCCCCCTTTGAAGCTGCCCGTGTAGGGGGTCTATAGATGGCTCTCTGGTCTATAGATGGCTCTCTGGTCTATAGATGGCTTCTTGGGCGTGGCGAGAGCCCAGTGAGAAGTGAGGAAACAACCGTGCTGCTGGGGATCCGGGTCAGGACTCAAGGCAGCGGCCTGGTGTGGGTGGCGTGGCACAGATCCATGAATGTAACCTCCCAACCAGCTCCCCCCCCCCCCCCCCCCCGTGGGGTGGCCCCACC